GAGTGTGTGCAGTCGCGTTCGCGTTCACCCGCATGCGCGTGTGAACATAATCAACAGCTCATTTGCTGTCACCCGGGCACATCTAGCCGGTCGCCCCCCTTGCCCGCTGCCCCGCATGCCTCCCCCGCAACCGTGACCCAGCCTCTCGCCTCCTGTGGCCGCAGCCCCGCCTCCTTACCCGCACACACACCCAATGCTCACACCCCGCAGCGTCCCGCGCGAGGCCCCGCCCGGCGGCCCCGCCAAGTTTACCGCCAGCGACGCAGAGGACCTGCTGGCCGGCGTGCAGAGGGTGTTCGTGCTGCCGCCCAGCGCCACCGCGGACGCCGACGCGCCCGACGCCGGCGGCAGCGGCTCGGGATCGGTCGCGGGATCGGGCGGTGTGGGCGGATTCCCGGTCGACCTGTCTGTTTACCAGCACGATGGGCGCGTGCAGTGCAGCCCACCCTGATCCGCCCCCCCCCCCCCTCTTGTGGCGGCAAGTCGAGCACGCGGCTCGCCGCGCTTGGGAGTGGCAGCTTGTAGACGGGTGTTTTTACGAGCGCCGCGCGGCGTGATGCAGCGGCTGCAATCTCTGGGGTTTTTTTGTTTGCAATAGACTTGGGGCTATGGACCCTCTGTGAGGGAAGGAGCGTGCTGAATCCAACATCAGGCTGGGCCCCCTGGGTCGGGCGCAGAGGGGGCTCAACCTCACCACTCGCCCCCCCTGCTCGAGGCGCACGGCCTCTGTTTGTATTGTGCCCCTGCTTTTCGCCCCGAGGCGGCAGGAGGGAGTGTATGCGCTGTATCATCAGGGACGATAGCCGCAGCACGGTTCAGCTGCTACCGCGTGACGCCAAGCTGCGCGCCTGGGCGACCGCCGCACGGCGACTGCTGCAGAGAATAGATACAACAGCACGCCCGCGCGCATTGCACCCCGGGCTCTCTTGTCCCCTGCATTCGCGAGCAGTTGACCAGAGTTGACCAGCCTCGTCCGGGCGCCTGTGAAGGGCGGACCGCAGCCATTTTTGAGCATGCTTTGAGGGCCAACGTTGTAGCTTGCGATTTGCGTGTGGATGACTGTATTTCGCATCGATGCGCGACAATCTGGCAGGGAGCACGGCTGGCCGTGTGCACCGAACCGAACCCGCACGCAGGGGCCGCGGCCTCAGCCGCGCGCACCCCGTCACCCAAAACCTGCCGTTCTGTGCCACGACAGTTGCGGATTTGAGCTCTTGGTGCAAGTCACGAGCGCTCAATCGCGCTCTTCCTGCTTGCCTACTTGCTTGCTTGAACCCTTGTGTCGCCTTGCACATCCCGTTTGCGCCACTGGAATCGTCGCCGTCTCCGCCGCCGCCGCGCGCGCCCTTTGGAAGGAGCAGCTGCGCCCTGAGCAGCCACGGGCCCCCAACCCTCTCCCCAACCAGTCACAGCTCGCACATGCATGTGTTGCAGCCTCGCAGTTCTTGGAGCGGAGTTATGCGCGGCCGCCCGTAGCGTTCGCTTGCACGCACTTAACTGTACAGCTAATCCTGCAGCCGCCTGTCGGGCTGCCATACGCATCACGGACTGGCCCGAGTCCTGTGTTTCTTGATGTAGGGCATCGGCACTCGTCCCCCTCTCCCCCGTGCACGCCAGCCATGCCCGCCACTTTTGACAGCTTTGCAGAGCGCCCCGCCATCTCCTTATGCCTTGTATCCTTTTGTAAAATTTGTAAAGGTTCCAGCGGGTGCAAAGCCTTGCCATACGTAGTAGGCATGAGCAGTTCGCATCGGCAAGCTGGGGCGTGGTGGAAGAAAGCCTGCACGCGTGCCCTTGTCAGGTCATGTGTTGACTACTTGGGTGCTGACCTGGGAGAACCCGCCGAGAGTTGGTGGTCCTAAGGACGGCATGTGACGGCAAAATCTCTGCTCCACGTGCTTTAAATCCCACGTGTGGGGGCGACAGCGATGCCTGGCGGCCTTCAGCATTGACCTGGGCTGCAGATGTTCAGACTGAGGGCCGCAGGACTGCAGGGAACGAGATGGATCAACGGAGTGACGCATGTGACTCAACCACCGTAGCAGTTTGTTCTGTGCCTAAGATATCGCGCATCAAGCTACACATCCCGAGAGTACTGTACACCAACCGGGACACGCAGGCTCTGCAATTTGACGATCACTTGAAACAGAGGGTGTGCCAGATATTGAACCTTGTATTAATCGATCAGCATATTGACACATCGTGTGCAGCTCGACCTGCCGCTGTAGGCTCCCAGCGGTTCCAGCAGCAGGAGCGGCACTCGCAGTGCTGCTGCCGCTGGACCAATGATGCTGCCGCAGCCGGCACCCTATGCACACGCCCGGCGGCGGTATGACCACGGCCATGGTGCAAGCTGCGTCATTCGCAATCACCCGCAGCAGCGAGCGCCCTTACCCAGCGCCCGCGGCGGGGCGGCGGTGGCGGCTCGGGCCGCGGCTGGTGCCGGCGAGCTGGTTGTTGGCATCGACCTTGGCACCACCAACTCTGCAATCGCCCGGATCCAGAAAGGCAACCCTGTGTGCATACCAAACGCCGACGGCGACACGCTCACGCCGTCCATTGTCGGTGAGCAGCAGCGGCCAGCCCCGCGCTCCTGGCGTCGGCCCGCCAAGACGTCTCCGTGACTGCCCGACGCCGCGCAGTGTCCACTGCAGCCGCAGCAGCCTCCGCGTGGCGGCCGCACTTCAGAACCCCGCCACCCAGGCGCGAGGTCGCCGCCTCTTAACAACCCCTCGGCCCCCGACCGCACTCGCCCACGCTCCTCAGCTTTCCAGGAGGGCGGGTCGACGCTTGTCGGCCGCGCAGCGCGGGGGCAGCCGGCGGAGACAACTTACTACTCGGTGAAGCGGCTGATAGGCCGCCAGGCGGATGACCCGATTGTGAAAGAGGAGGCAGGCCGCCTGGCATATGAGGTGCGCACATTTGTCCCCTGGAGCACGCGTTTGCTGGGAAGACGCGGTCCGGACGGTTGGCTGCGTGCGGGCAGCCTGCCCGCGCCTGCTGCCTGCGCCGCTGCTGCCTGCGCCGCTGCTGCCTGCGCCGCTGCTGCCTGCGCCGCTGCTGGCGCCAGCCGCTTGCAGTGGCGCCCCAACAGGCGCCCATACAGCTTGCTCCGCTGTGCGCCCATCTTCGTGCGTCCGCCTTCCCACACGGGCACGCACGCGCAGTTGCGCACGCAGACGACATTGATGCACACACTGCACGCGCTCACACACCCACACAACAACCGCGTCACATGCACCGACACGCTCACACACACAAGCAGCGACAATGCACAACCAACATGCTCCCCCCCAAGGTGTCTGCTGATGAGGAGGGCGCGGTCATCTTGCCCTGCCCCCACGTGGAGCCGGGGGCGCTCTACCCCGAAGAAGTTTCGGCCCTCGTGCTGGCGCAGCTGCTGCAGGCGCGCGCGCGAGCACACACGCGCATCCGCGCGACGCCGCGCGCGTGGCTGCAGGGCACCGCAGCCGCCGCGCCCCTCGGGTGGCAGCCATGCGGCACGAGGCCAGGCGCTGTCGCGCGCCAGGCACGCGCCAGCAAGCAATCAGCTTGGGGCTGCATCAAGGTCCACGCACATGCCGTGCCTGCGTTCGCCATGCATCAGTGTTCGCCCGTCCTGCCGCCCACCCCACCCCATACCAACAGGACGTGGAGCGCGAGACCGGCCAGGGGCCCGTTACTAAGGCCGTCATCTCTGTGCCGGCTTACTTTGATGAGGCCCAGAGGGAGGCCACAAAAGCGGCAGGTGGGCGCAGGGGGAGCTGGCGCTTGCCAGCGCCGCGGCTGCAGGGGCTGCGAGGCTGTCTGCAGAGCCTCGCACGAATGCAGGTGGCGCGCCCGCGTGCGCCTCCCAGTTACGCCTATGTCTTGCTCATGCAGGCGTGCGCCCGTGCGGGCACGCCATCGCTGCTTTGCACCATCGCGAGTCAAGCCTCCAGGCGCCCAGCATTCAGCCTACAAGGCACCCCTCCCTGGAGCAGGCGACCGCGCGCCCCACGCCGCCGCCCCGTCACACCCTCTAACCCTTCTCTCCCCTCCGTCCCCTCCGCCCCTCTCCCCTCCCCCCTCAACACACACCACAACACAGGCGAGCTGGCTGGACTGTCAGTAGTGCGATTGCTGAAGGAGCCCGTTGCGGCGGCGCTGGCTTATGGCCTCGACCTGACAGAGGAGCAGGTCAGAGGGGGCGCGTGTGTGGAAATGTGTGAGTGTGTGCGTGCGTGGTGTTTATGTGTTTCTGCATGCGCGCGCGCGCGCATGAGTGTGTGTGGGTGTGTTTCCGCATGAGTGTGTGTTGTTCCGTATGTGTGTGCATGCGATCAAGTCGGGTCAGCGACTGGATCTTGCGGCTTGGAGTGGTGCGTGGTATTGGATGACACAAAGCGCTAGGGGCATGGCGTGCCTGGACCTTGTGCGTTAACGGTGTGATCCGTGGGCATTTTAGGATGGGCCGATGCAGGCGGTGTGATCCGTGAGCATTCTGGGAAGGGCCGATGCGTGGGCGGGCGGGGCGGGAGGCGCGCCCGGAAACAAGGGGCGGGCCAAGTCCGTCGCATTGATGCGCAGACACTGGTGCAGCCGACTGCGGTCCTCGCTCGCTGTGTGCTGTGTAATCACGGTGTGAGTGGCGAGTCCAAGGCTTTGTCCGCGTGCTGAATCCTCCTTCCACGCAGCCGTCTGGCACAGCCTTCTCTTCCCCCCCCCTCCCCTCACTCTCGCGCTTGGTCCCAACTCCGCGCCCCTTCCCCCCATTCCACCAGGTGGTGTTGGTGTTTGACCTGGGGGGCGGCACGTATGACATCAGCCTACTGGAGGTCGGGAACGGCACCATAGAAGTCTTATCGACAGGCGAGCGGCTCGATATCTCATAGCAAATACTTCAATGTGCAAAGCCCTGAATTCCCCTGGGCCATTGTGATGACCACTTGTCAGGGGCCAGGGCACACGCCTCCCTTGAAGGTTTGCGAAAGGCGGCCGGGGCCGCCTGGCGGGGCTGCTGCGCAGAGGCCTGCACACCTGGGGCGGGGGCTGTGGAAGTCCTCCCATTCAAGGGTTGCCGCGCTGCGCCTGCCAGCGCCTCAAAGCGCGCCGTATGCTCGGCGGCCCCTAAATGATGACAAGCACACACACACACACACACACACACACATCACCAAACGCGCCCCTGCCGCAGGCGGCGACCCCCACCTGGGCGGCGATGACTGGGACGCCGCTGTCGTCGGGTGGCTGGAGCGGGATCACCTGCACCCTGCAGGGGTGGACACGCGGCAGCCAGAGGTGGGTGCGGGCCACAGGCAGGGGCATCCCTAAGGCGGGAGCGCGGCTGCGAGCCAAGCACGTGCGGGGCCGCACGTCGGCCCCGGCCCCGCGAGCCATCCA